CCCGCCCCATTCTTGGAATTGTGTGGAAAAATTCTCAGCCAAACCTCCCACCTCTCCGCTCCCCACCCCCCCACCCCTTTTAAAACCCGCTTTCCTCCGCGGCCCCTGCACTCTTTGTGAATGAGGGCAGGGAACGCGGCCCTTCCCCCGCCCAGGAGCCACGCCAGACCGCCGCACTCAGAGGACTGTTTGTTAATAGTCCAATTAGATAATTGCCATCTTTCACTCCTTTTGCTCCGCATTTCCCATAAAGGAATGAATGGGGAGAGCGGCGTGGAGAGGGCTTCTGCCCCGGCAAGGTGACGAGAAGGGCTGGAGCATGCTCCTTGCACAAGGCCATGCGCTTGAATTGAATCATTGTAGCCTAATCAATGCTCTTATTGGATTACTGGCTGTTGCTTTTCTCAAAGATATTGTAGCAGAGACAATGAAATAGCTAGGGGAAAACTTTTTTTTTTTAAGCAGATCTCACAGTTGAGATTTTTCTCTTCTCTCTCTCTCTCTCTCTCTCTCTCTCTCTCTCTCACTCCCTCTCCCTCTCTCACTCCCTCTCTCTCTCCTGCTGGACTCTCCGAGTACAAAGCTGCCCTTTGAATGGGCTGCCTCAGGGCTGCTGGAGGTGCAGGCATGAAAAAATCCCACTGGAACTAAATGAAGAGGGGTGGCAGTGTAAGATGGCTGTCAGCGTGGAGGTGTGTTAAGGAGCTGCTTGGGGAGAAAGCGTGACTTTTTCTGAGTGTGGGGGAGATACTTTTGGGGGAAACTTTTTCTCCTCCCTACGCAGAGGCAACTGCTTTCTTCTGCTGCAGAGTGTGTGTGAGGGGCACCCCCCTCCCCTTCGGTTCTATCTGGCGAGTGTGGAGAACACCCTTCTAGCCAGTATGGGAGCAGGAGGGTCAAAGGCAAAGGGAAAGTTAATAACGTCTGCTAATGGTACTAACAATTCAGGATGAATCTTGTCAAAAGTTTCTCTGGAAGTGTAGGTCTTTGATTGTGCGTTTCCTGAAAGCAAGACCAATCATTTCCGTTTATTCACTGGCTAAACCCCTACTTGATTGGGGACAAGGACAGAAACCATCCATTACGATCTGATATATTATCCAAACAATTTAGTGTATTCATGAGGTAACCGAAACGTGGGGGCTGCGAAATTACCCGTAATCAATTGCAACAGCGAGTGTGCGTCCTCCCCCGGGTGTCGGACAACTACAACTCGCCGTCTCAGTAACAGGCGGGAGCCGAAGCATTTCGGAGTTGCGCTGTTCGCCATCTGATCGCCAGGCTGGGGACACTGGACGTGCTCAGAGGACGCGGGCGCTGACGAGGCGGCCTCGCCGCTGCTCCGCCGGGATCCTGGACTGGAGCGACCGTGTCTCGGCGAGCGCGCCACACTCGGTCGCTGCTGACCCGCCCGCTGCCGCCGAAGCCGCCCCGCGGGGACATTCATTCTCCTCGCCCGCCTCTCGGCAGACCGAGCTTAGGGGCTGCGTTGTGGGGGTTTTGTCTCCCTTTGCCTTTTTATTTTTCTTTTCTCCTTTCTTCTTTTTTTGTGTTGTTTTGCCTATGTTCGGGAAACCAGACAAAATGGACGTCCGGTGCCACTCGGACACCGAGGCCGCCCGGGTCTCGAAGAATGCGCACAAGGAGAGCCGAGAGATCAAGGGCGCGGAGGGGAACCTCCCCGCCGCCTTCCTCAAGGAGCCGCAGGGTGCCTTTTCGGCGTCGGGCGCTGCGGAAGATTGTAACAAAAGTAAATCCAGTTCCGCAGCCGACCCGGATTATTGCCGCCGGATCCTAGTCCGAGGTAGGCATGAGCAGGGCAGGGCTGTGGAGCGTGTTGTTTGGGGGAGACCCCCGGGCGGGAGCTGCGCCCCGCCGCCGACCAGGGAGGGGGTGCCGGCTAGGACTTCGGAGAAAGTTGCTGGTCTTCCTCTCCCCCGGGCCCGCCGGCCGCCGGGGTCTTGAGCCTGGGGCTCACCTGGGCGCGCTCTCCAGGGGCCTCGCTCCCCGAAGCCCGAGGGGCCCCGCCCGCCTCGCTGCAGAGGGAGCCGAGGGGCTGCGTGCACCCGGCCGGCCACCAGGCTGCGGCCTCCGACCCGGGGAAGGAGCAGGCAACTGCGGGAGGACGTGTGCGCGCCCTGCGGGCTGGAGGACCTGCTGGGAGCTGGTCTGCGGGATCCCGCGCCTTGGCGCGCCGAGCACCCCACTGGAGCGCGGGCTTGGAGGAACAGCCACCGATCGCTGGCCACGGCCCTGCAGGTTGGCGCGCTGAGCCGAGAGCCTTGGCGCTGCGCTCCGGGCCTGGCCGCTGCTGCCAGGAGAGGCGGCCGAACTGGGTGTCCGGGCCACGGACGGCGCCTTCTGTTTGGCTCGGCCTCGCTCGAGCGCGGCGAGCGCTCAGCCCGGGCAGCGGTTGCAGCAAGGCCGGGCCCCAGCTCGGCGCCGCCCCGCCAGCGGCGAGCCAGGCCCAGCGGGCCTGGACTCCGTCCCTCCTCCGTATGTTGCCTGGGTTCCGAGGGCAGGAGAGCCCGGGTGGGCGTGAGACAGCTTGGGCATAGGCTGCTTTATAGCCTCGGGCCGCAGAGCCTTGGCTGGTCAGCGAGAGCACTCTTAGGCCACAGGGGACCCGGATGGGGCAGCCGAGCTCCCCAGCCCAGAAGGAGCATCTTTCTATTTGGAACTGATTTTTACCACTGTCCTGTCTGGAAGTCTCTACGAGGTCTGGTCCTTACTCTGTCAGTGATCTGGAGCTAGCCCCCACAACCCTCGCCAAAAAAACCCTGTCTGCTTTTCGGCTGTATTTGTCCCTCTCCGCACCCCTTGTAGGCTGCTGGGGTCTATGTCCCCAAAGTCAGCTCTAGCCAAGGAGGTGTAGCGAGACGGGAGAGTTCTGGCGGCTGACATCTCCCCTTCCCCAGATGCCAAGGGGTCCATCCGCGAGATCATCCTGCCCAAGGGCTTGGATCTGGACCGGCCCAAGAGGACGCGCACGTCCTTCACCGCGGAGCAGCTCTACCGGCTGGAGATGGAGTTCCAGCGCTGCCAATACGTGGTGGGCCGCGAGAGAACGGAGCTCGCCCGGCAGCTCAACCTCTCCGAGACCCAGGTACCCAGCAGCCAGGCTGCACACAGCTCTGCACCAGGCTCCCTCCCCACCAACACCAGCCTGCTCATTTCATTTCCTAACCTGGCTTTGGACAGAGCTTCTCAGAGGACGTGGAGGAGTTGGAGCAGATTGGGAAGAAAGGTCTAAAGATTTCTTCCCCTTCCATAAACCAGCCTTTATCTGTAGGTCCTCACATCTTCCAGGGCCTACATTCTATATAAGCTGGCCTGGCCCAGGAGGCCCAAATTCTATCCTTCAGTAATTCATAAAGGTTTCCAGTCTTGAAAATTTTCTGCTTACTCCTGCTCGTACAAAGAACTGATTTTCTGCCTGTTTCTGGCACCCCATTTCAGCCAGATCTCTAGACACCACTCTCTTTGGGGCCCCAGCTTTACCATGTACCCAGACCTATTCTTCAGGAAGTGGGACTAGAAAGAGGTACAACTTCTAGACAATTCTGTGTCCCAGTTTGGCTGCCCCTGCCTTGACCCTTACAGTTCTTTCTGGTTTTGTGCTGGACCCAGTCCTGAGCACCAGGAAACCCTATCTTCTGTGCCAGTGGTGTGGGAAATGAGATGGGTCATGGACCTGGGATGCTGGGAACCTGTGCTTTCAGTCTTAACGTCAAACCTGTATGGTACCCAGTGTGGGCATGTGATCTCAGTGCCTAGAGTGGTTGTAGGACTAAGAACTCGGGGGGCTGGCCAAAGCATGCTACCAGCTTGCCCCAGGTAAGACATCTTCTTTGGGAGGAGCACAAGTTCCTTTCCCAATACCTAGCTTTGACATACTGGGGGAATATTTTAAGCCTGGGATTTGGGTTGAATGCTGAGGACTGGTGACACGTGGGATGTTCCTTTGCAGTTTGAATTGACATAGTAACTTTCCCTCATCTTTCTGCCACTACCCCTTTTAGTTTTCAAAATCTAGACCGGATAGCCTTTCCATATAGCTGCCACACTGTATTTGGGTCACTGCTGGGTCAGCAGAGGGGCAGAAGAAGAGGAATTGAGCAGGCTGGTGGAGAGTAGTATTCCATCTACCTCAGCTCCTATCTTCCTTCCAGGATTCCCAAATTCATGGTGGAGAACAGCAGGAGTGGTAAATTAAGAGTATCACTTACACTCTCAATCCAGCTGGCTTATAAATTCCATCTTGGGCAAATTATTCCTTGGACAGGCACCTTCCCTTCTTGCTACTGGTTCATGGTCAAGTCAACCTAACAGGCAGGAAACAATCCCTTCAGGCCTTCAGCAGGACTAGCACTTCTGGGGCTAAATTTGAATGCAGTGGAAGAGGGCCTCGGACTAGGAAGGCTGAGAAACCCTCCTGTTACCCAGCCGCTCCCCACACTGCATCCTGATTCTGGTCTCACACTCTCTGTTGTAAATTCGGGATCCGGGGCCAGCTGATTCATATATCTATGAACCCCAAATCCCACTGCGGGTAGCACGGCAGCCCAGTGAAACCCCCTCTGGTCTTCCTTTGAGTTAGTGTCTTGGACATTTTTATTATTTTGGTTTTGTAACTGGCGCCGGCCTCAGCCTGCTTCCGTGACCCGGAAGCTCAGCCCAGTGGAGCTGCGTCCCCCTCGTGGCGACAGCGGCTTCCCTGGCCTTTCTGGCCCGGACCTCTCCGGCGGTGGCGAGTGGGGGTGCGGCTAGGTCTGGGGAGGGGGGCTCCAGGAGTCCTCGTGCCCCCGGAGCCCTCCGCTTGACCCTTGTCTTCCCTGTCCCCTTCTCTCACCCTCCCCGTGCCCCGGCGCGCAGGTGAAGGTCTGGTTCCAGAACCGGCGCACCAAGCAGAAGAAGGATCAGGGCAAGGACTCGGAGCTGCGCTCGGTGGTGTCAGAGACCGCGGCCACGTGCAGCGTGCTGCGGCTGCTGGAGCAAGGCCGCCTGCTGTCCCCGCCTGGCCTGCCTGCGCTGCTGCCGCCTTGCGCCACGGGCGCTCTCGGCTCGGCGCTGCGCGGACCCAGCCTACCGGCCTTG